ATGCTGAATCATTTCTAAGAGTTAACTGATGAAACAGAACACTGGAAACTTGAGAAGTTCAAGGCGAATGACAGTTCTGTCACCCTGGCTAAGCCCTACCTTCACTCCCCAGGAAACAGGTCTGAGTCTACTGTCTGTGGACTTTGGACAATAGGTCTCACACCTGTGTTCTGTATTTCAGATCCTTCATGAACAGTCCTTCAAAGTGAATTCTGAAACTCCTTTTCCTTTTATGCCAGGACTTCAGACTGGCAACTCATGAATGCTGCTCTTTAGTTCCACAACTTCCTCTGTTCTTAGCTTCCAGCCCAGACCCCTAGGTGCACTGTGCAATTGGTTGCTAGGAATTTAGAGAACTGGGTGTCACTGCTAAGTGGTACAGCAGCAACTGCTAACATGCAGCCTTTATTGCTGATTATTTGTCTTTACTAATGTGATCTAGCTCATTGATTTTACTCAAATGTATGCCATATAGAGCTGTGTACACAGCACATTGATATTACCCATATGCATGAGTTGTGTATACAAGAATATTGATTTTACCCATATGTATGCTGTATAAAGTTGTGTACACAAGCACATTGACTCATATGCATGACATATACCGTTGTGTACATAGGAACATTGATTTTACCCACATGGATGACATATTGGGTTGAATACACAAGCTCATTGATTTTACCCATATGCTTTGCTGTATAGAGCTGTGTACACAAACTAAAATTATGCCCATGTTTTTGAGGGCTATTTTCTTTTTCATTGATGACTAGATGTCAGTAACCTAAGACATGAATGAAAGTTCCCTATGAGTATCTCTACTCTGTGATGCTTTGGGAAGATAATAGAACTTGCAGGAAGTGGGCCTAGTGGCAACAAAGTTGATAGCTAGACACACACCTCGGGAAGAGAAAGAACCACCTCCCATGTTTTTCCTCATTCTGCTTTCATTAGCCACTGTCTCTGATAGATTCCTCAAATGATTTGTCACTACAGACCACGTAACAAGGCAAACTGACCATGAACTAAACCCTATCACTGTTAGACAAAATCAAACAATACTCCTTCATCTCAAATATTTCTGTTTCAGTGTTGGAAAAGTGACTAGCACACTGACCCTCATGCAAAACACATTCACAATTTTTCTTCTTAAAAAGAATAACCTACATATATGTTTTTCCTTTGTAAGTTCAAAAAGTTTAATAACTTTTATTGTTAGCATTATTTGGAGGTCATGTCAATCTATCAGCTCTCTAATAATATAGTATCTCAGAACATGTTTTATCACAGGATGGATAGATGATAGTCAACAAATTTTAATGAAAGATTCCTCTAGATTTTCCTCCCAGGGGGCATCCTTGAGGCTAATACTATTAGACAGTTTCATTAGCTTCAGATGTAGCAAAATTATACTTATGGATCCAAGCAAACGAACATTTCTTGTTAATAACTATGTTTTGAATAGTTAAAATAAGCTATTTGCTGACAACTTTTGTATAATCACCATTTGTAACATTAATACATTAAATATATAGTGAAATATCTGCTAAAGAAATGTAAATGAATTCTTTCAAGTGGGATCATAACAAATTCAAATGATAACTATTTACAACAATTTGAAACTTGTAAAAAAAGCCTAAATGATATTATGAGTTAAGTGTTGCTTTATTATTCTAATAGAGCTAATTTTCACCAGAGAATGTGTCAAATTAAGAATAAGGAAATCAGAGCTACATTACTAGTTTTCCTCTTTCTATTTAAGCAGATAAGCTTGTGTTTTACACCATTTACTTTTGCACAAACTTGTCTTCCTTGGTAAGTTTGATACAGCATAAAATTAAACAACCATTCTCCCTTTAATATTAAGTGAATCAAGCTTATCAAATTTCCTCCTTTAAACCTGATATATGTATATTTCCCACTTAATTTATATTAACCTATAGTTTGTCACTTCATTATTTTCAATGTATTCCCGAATCTTAAACATGAGGTCAGATTAATATTTGACACCAACATTTCTAGTCCTGGCTGAGTGTCAATTAAAATGATTGAGAACATACTAAATTAGCAGATAGGCTCTCCAAAGAGAGATCAAAACCAGAAAATCCAGGGCATCCAATGATTTAATCAGTCCAATCTGTTTCTGTTCAGTCTAATGTGGTTCTTCTGGCTCAATGGTTTGCTTCTCTAAAGAGTCTCCACAAAATGACCTCATCTCTTCCTTACATATATCCTAAACCTAGTTCATGTGCTGACATTTCATTTCTTTCCTCACCTTTTATTATTTGAATCACTTAGATAGCTTTTGGTATAAATAACTGAAAAACAAACACAAATTTATTACATTCCAAAGAAAAATATTGTTTTCCCTTTATGGCCAACTCAATGACTTTCGCTTCACCTGTGACTGCTTCACTTAGTGGTTAATCATCCCTCTGCCACCTCTAGCATTTACACTTAACCCCCATCTCTGTCTCCATCTCGCTCCTTCTCCCTTACTCAGCTAAATCTACTCACCACTGGTGCCATTACAGCACTATAAACTATCATGGTCCAAGCAATGAAGCAAAGTCCAGAGTTACCTGTTTTTAAATTTTCTTCTAGTGATGAAATGGGTCATTGCTCAAAGAAAGTTCAGAAAATGAATCTTGGTTTTGCTGTACGTAAATAGGCTTTATGAGATGGAATATACCAACAGGTTTGAGAGAGTCAGGCCAATCTATAGAGTTTAGAGAACCCTCAGATCTACTTACATTGTTGTAAAATCTTGATGAATGTCAAAAATAAAAAGGGTAAAAGTGTTTATAAAGCACTTGTAATGAAGAAATTTGGCTACATTTCTTAGATGTTAGAGAATACTGATCCATTGCAATAACAAGCTAAAAAATAAAATAATTACTTGATGTGCACATACATTTACCTATTTCTCAATCTTGATGAAATAAGGTTTTCTAACTGTATTTCAAGACTATGCTTAGAAGGCTCAATGAAAGAACAAATTCAACTGTAATGGGGTTTACACTATTTTTAATTTATAAACTAGAAGTATCGCTCTTGTTCGAAGTAAAGAACCTTTTTGGTATTTTTATGTTGTATCTTTACACATCAGTTGAGCAATTAATGCAATTTTAAGAGTATATAACATACTCAGAAGTTAATTGTCTTTGGTGAGTTATAAATAGCTCTATGCAGAACTTTGATGTGGTTATCCTCCTTTTAGGTTACATTTAAATTAAATCACACAAACTCTCAGTATGCTCATTTGCTATCCAAACAATATAAATGTAAGAATCTGTTTACTGGCTGGGCGGTGGTAGTGTACATCTTTGGTCCCAGCACTCGTGAGACAGAGGCAGGTGGATCTCTGTGAGTTTTGAGCCAGCCTGGACTGTAGAGTGAGTTCCACTTCTGGTTCAATAGCTACTGTGAAATTTTGTCTCAAAAAAAATCTGTTTTCTGAAAAATGAAAACTTCACAAACATCAACTTCTTTTTTAAGTTTAAGGCTAGTTTAATTTTTCTAAAAATTTGTATATAACACAGTTCCTTGGCAGATGTTTCATGTTGCTTCTTTGACACTGGAAATGTGAAGTTCCAACTCTCAGTTTCTACTTTCCTTGCCAGCTCCATAGCTGCTGTCTGTAACTTCATGTTCAGTTGTGGCTAGAGAGCATCATTTCACGTGAAGACGCTTTACTGCTGAGAAGGCAATTGGCATCATCATTTGCTAAGAGGCTCACTAAAACACACAGCAGCTTGTTGTTTACAAAAGAGCTGGGGTAGATCCATCTTTGGTTCTCACAAATGTGTGGGTTTTCTGTTTTGGTAGACGAAAGTCTGGGGCATTAACTAGTAAGATGGGTGATTACAACATTATCACAGGAAATGTCAGTACCCTAAAAGGTGGATAGTTGCTGAAATGCAGAAAAAGCTCTACTCTTCACTGAATTAACAGATTCAGGGCAGCAGAGATGGCTCAGCAAGAGGAATCCCCGAGACCAAGCTGATAAGATTGATGTTAGGACTCATTTTTTCGAAGGAATGACCTGACTTTCAGACGTTGTCCTCTCATATCCACAAGTATGCTGAGGCAAATGCAACCATATGCAGACACACACACACATGCATGCATGTACACACATACACCGAAAAGTTCCTATGTCTCTAGCATCCAGCAAACTTGACTTTGGAAATGTTTTCTTCAAAGCACATTTTAATGCTTTTGTTGTTAGGAGAAAAACAGATGTAAACCACTGGCAGTGGATAAAGCCTCAGATCTGGACACACAAAGGCAAAGGACTGGAGTCTTAGTTCACAGCAGCTTTAACAACATGTAAAGACCGTCTCTTCCTCAGAACTTAAATGCTGAAGCAGAAGGCAGAAAAAAAGATGCAGCCCATGCTTTCATACCACCACAGGTAGCATAACTGCTTCAGTTTTATCTTGCAAAGTCCAACAAGTCTGACAAATTTCACCAACGAACGAAACACATTTCCTGGGCAATGATGCGTATAGACAGAGGGATTTTTTTAGTCAATTGCAGGAATTAGGCTTTAATGCTCTATACTAAAAGATTTCATACCCCAGATAGCTGCTGCTATTCACTGAATCTTGGCAGGCAGCAAGACTGTCAGATAGTCACTGCTATCCACTGAACCCTGGCAGGCAATGAGCCCTCCAGGCTGAACCTCTGAAGTTGCACTAAGCAGATTTCTATGCATGTACAAATGCTTTATTTGTAAAGCTCCCTTTCTTTGGAATAACCCAAACTTCTTTTTTTTTCTCCTTGCAAAAATATTCCAGCTTCATGAATCTCTTAAATTTTAATTATAAATACCTTTCAACCTCATCCCTACTGAAGCACAGAATGAGACAGATTCCTCTCCTACCAAAAGTCTGCAGTTTTGAAATGAAAAATCATAGACCTTTCAATTTAAGAGGTATAAAAAATGATCAATGTTCTTAAAGTATTCAGCAGATGTAAAGAAGCACAGGTTACCTTACCGTTATATGGAAGCTCCAGAGGGCTACAGGTATCATTATCCATTCTCAGTTTCGGCAAAGCGATCAGTTTTTTAGCAAAGGACGCTGAGATGGGCTGCACTAACAGGGAGGTGAGGTTTGGTCGGCTCTGTCTAAAGCTTCCATCTGTATTCAAAAGAGAAAAAAAATCCTTAGCAAACAGAAATTGAAAACAATCATTGACAAGTTCTTTGTAATCAAGTATATAAATTTTGAATAGGAAAATATATATTTGTTCTTTTATTTACTACTCACTTATATTCTGTTTGTTAAAGTGTTTTGAAATACTATAAAATTATGTAATCTGAATAATATTATATACCTTCTTCAACAACATATACATATACTTACCACCGGTTCTATTGCAATGACTCGCCAAGGTAACAAAAAAAAAAAGAATGGAGCAAAGCAATAGTGGAGAGGGTACCCAAACTGCCCTTCCATTGGAATCTGATTGATGATACCTTAATTGTCATCATATGGCCTTCATCCAATAACTGATAGAAACAGATGCAGAGATTCACAGCTAAGCACTAGGCTGAATTTCTGGAATCCAGTCATAGAGAGGGAGAGAGGAGAGATTCCATGAGCAAAGGGGCCAAGACCACAATGGGGATACCCACAGAAAGAGCTGACTCGAGCTAGTGGAAGCTCATTGACCCCGAATTGACAAGCTGGAGCACCAATAAAGATTGAACGTAAAATTTGTGGGGCCACTAGCAGTGGAAACCATATTTATCCCTACTGCATGAATCTGCTCTTTGGAGCCCATTCCCTATGGATGGATACCTTGTTCAGCCTTGATACAGGGTGGGGGGCAGCGTGAGCCTTGGTGCTGCCTCAAGTGATGTGATAGACTTGGTTAACCCCTCCTGGGAGACCTCACCTTCTCTAAGGAGTGGATGTGGGTGGGGTGGAGAGAAGATGGAGAGAGTGAGAGGACAGAAGGGAGAGGGAACTGAAATTGGCATATAAAATAAATTTTAAAAAAATGAATGGAGATACAGAAATACATGGGAACCCAGACAACAGAGGGCAGCTGGACTGTAGGAGCTGAAACAGTTTAACAGCTAACACAGTGAGTGGACCCCAGTGACTGGAACTGATGTTGTGGTGAGGAAACTGAGATATAATGTGGCTTGTAGAACAGAATTCCAAAGGCCCAGACACTGGCAGATCCTTCTACTTTTGACAGGATGAAAAAGGGGGATCCTATGAAACATGATATGAAGAAGGCCTCTTGTACATACAGTCAATGTGGATGCCTGGCCCTTCATCATGCCAGTGGGTAGCAGAAAGAAACAGAAGAGGGAGGATTCAGACAATGAAGAAGTTGCCATTCTTAAACAAGATACTGTTGGAACGTCTGAAAATTTACATGGCCAACTCTGCCCAATGCCTTCAGGAAATAGAGCTTATGCTAATAGAAGATATGAGCAGACTGGTGAAAATCTAAAACTAATGAAAATCAGAAGGCCGCTGATTAAAACAACTTGTCCAAGTACTGTCACACTTAAGTTCGAGGTCATTGAATATTACCTACATCCAAAATTAAATTCAACTTATTTTTTTCCAATTCATGAGAATGAACTCTCAGGCAAAGGCATCTTCAGAGAAGAGGAAAGCTGTGAGTAGAATTCAAGAGGTTGTGAAAATAAATGATGAGGTGATGTGGGATTCCCCTCTGTATGCTGTGAATATGATTTGTTAGTAAAGAAACTGTCTTGAGCCAGTGATAGAGTAGAACAGAGCTGGGCGATGTAGGATTCTCCTCTGTATGCTGTGAATGTGATTGGTTAATAAAGAAACTGTCTTGAGCCAGTGATAGGGTAGGACAGAGCTGGGCGGGGAAGACTAAGCTATATACAGGGAGAAAGAAGGGTGGAGTCAGAGAGAAGCCATGTAGCCCTGTTGGAGCCAGACAGAACTTTACCTGGTAAGCCACTACCACATGTTGATACACAGATTAATATAGATGAGTTAAATTAATATGTAAGAGTTATCCAATAAGAAGCTAGAGCTAATGGTCCAAGCAGTGATTTAATTAATACAGTTTCTGTGTGATTATTTTTGGGGCTAAGTGGCAGGGAACCAACAAGCAGCTCTCTCCTCCTACAGGGATGCATGGCTGATGTGAGCTAATGAGTCCAGGGAATAGGGTAAGATTAGAGTTAGGATTTAAAGATTTCCCAGACTTACAGGAGAGTAGGTATTATCTGAAGACAACGATTAGCTTTAACAGGATGTGTAAAAATGAGATGCAATAGTACAGTATGAATAGAAGTGGTATAGTCATAATTAATATAATCAGAAAATTTTATTTCAAGAGAATGGAGATCACAAAGAAGCATGGAATTGTATGCTTGAGACAGAAAGATAAATCCTGATGATGCAGAATGACAAGTCGATCAAAATAATAAGTAAACCTGAAATATAGTTCTGGGAAGATGGTTTAGAAGGTATTGGCCATCTTCCATCAGCCATTTCTGCAGCCCTGACTTTGTTAATTCAGTGATGATTAGCCTTGTGGGTTCAAGAACCTGCGTTTGTTCCCCAAAGTCCTCATGTAAAAGAGGGGTGGGGGTATGCTGGTATTGTCGCATACATTTAGAGTCACTACAGATTCAGAAGAATTCCTCTAGGCAGCTTAGTCTAGTTTACAAGTTCCAGGCTTCCCATGAGAGACTCCATCTCTTAAAAAAAAAAAAAGGCAATTGCCTAAGAAGCAACATTCAAGGTTGTCATTGAGCTTCCATACATACATGCGCATGTACAAGCTCACCTCACATACACATGTACCTATACATGCACACACACACATGCTGAATAATAAGTTATGTATCTCAAACACGTGTGGATGAATAAGAATAAATCTATAAACATGGGTTGCAAGAAACCATGCTGAAAACAATTAATTGTGCACTTGAGAGAAATCAAGAGAAGGAGACATAAGAATGGGTGGAACAAGATAATTTTAGGAAGTAAATTCTCTTGGAACTATTTGGTTAAGTAATAAACTACATTTATCCATAATTTTAATAAAATGCAAGTCAAACAAAACTGATAAGATAAAATATAAACAACCATGCACACCATATTCAGAGAATAGTGGAGGAGACAACAAAGCAAATATGCTCAATTAAAAACCAAACACTTAGGAAAGCTCTGTTACTGACACAGAAAAGGAAATCCACTGTGAAGCCTGACAGCTAAATTTTAGAATGTGGTACTATATACAGAACTTTTATTGCGAAAATAATTTCTGGAGGTTTACTTGGAGTCAAATTTGATCTGTCTACAAGGGGTGAAGACCTTCCTGATCTTGGTAAGGTTCCAGGAGGCAGATTATACATGAGTAAATGTTTGTGAGTCACTTTTTAAATTTATCATGTGGAAACTTCTGTGTGAACTTCTTCAGCCAATAGCCTTTAAGACAGCAGCCCACTTGGTGTGGTCTCTTATAAATACAGACATAAAGCTTGCATGTTCTCTCTGGGCTGCTAGATTCGGTTTCTGTTTCCTGTTTATGTAGAACTGTGATCTGTGAGTCAACCCCTAAATAAATAACATTATATTATACACAGCTCTAAACTAGTGTTGAGTTACTTTAGAGCGTCCATCTTCAGAAAACCACAAGACAACGAAAAATGATATTTTGCTTAAGGCGATGGCTGCCATAGAAGCTGTGGTTTCAAGAAAATAGTAATAAAGATTTAAACTGAGATCAGATTTGCTGGAGAAGCACACAGATAGTCTTGGGTCTCTGTTCCTTTATGTCCATGTGTAACAGTAAATTTTGCCACAGTATACTTCATTGTTCCTTGACTGTTTCATGTCAAAGACCATGACAAGTTGTCTAATTTGCAGAGCCTGGAGCAAAGTGACAAATGTAGAGTTGCTAGTTGGAAAAGCAGGAGAGATTTGATAAGGCAATAGCATAGTATAAATCAAGTGTGAGACATTTCAGAAAGGACACTGAGACTGCATAGGTCATATGCTCATAAGCCAGAACATGCACGATTCACAGACATGATGTTAGAAACTATGTAGCTTCTTGAGTCAAAGTGACAGTGATATACAGGTTTCAGGAAGTTGCTTTAGTCAATACTGACCAGTCCTCTTCTGCTCCATCCTGTACCTTGGCAAAAATAATTCATGCTGCCAAACACAGACAACACCAGGGTGGCTAGTTGGGAAGTTTTGAAATAGCTCTTTGAGAAACACAAATGAATCAACAACTGTTTTAAAAATATTCTGTCTTGCTAATTCTCAGAGTCCCCATGAATGGAGCAGGGGCACAAAGAAAGAAAAGCTTGTATGTCTCCACTGTTACTTTGATCCTGCTTTCTTACTAACAAGCTATCACCTCCCCCGCAGACAGACTAAATATATTTCCAAAGCTCATTTGCTCCCATTAACTCCCTGATGGTTCCTGTTCTAAAGTAATCATTGGTATATTAAAGCATTTCAATAAATAAATCATATTTAAACATATTTATCAGCTAATAAAGAATCAATACTTAACTTCTATTTTCCTCCGAGATGCTCTATTAAGCTCATGAAACAATGGATATAAAAGTTAAATACGAGTGAACCTTAAACTCAAACTGAGCATTCCTAAGTCTTTGATGGTTTTGTGCTGCATGACTAATAAATTTGAATTAGTTTTAAAATATCCAAGTAATTGGTTCATTAATTTTTCACTTTCAGCTTAATGGAAATATGACAAACAGTTCATTCCTTAGATAATAAAAGCAGGATTTTGCAGGACACTAATTTTAAATTATACTCACAAACTATGTTTTTTTTTTTTTTCTTTTTCGAGACAGGGTTTCTTTGTAGCTTTGGTGCCTGTCCTGGAACTAGCTCTTGTAGACCAGGCTGGCCTCGAACTCCCAGACACCCGCCTGCCTCTGCCTCCTGAGTGCTGGGATTAAAGGCGTGCGCCACCACCGCCTGGCTACAAACTATGTTTTAAAAATCTGTTTTATTAAAAACCTAGAATTTCATTTTCTTATATATTAAGAATTTTTGAATAAAACTAAATGTGTGTACCAGTTCATTTACTTGTATTTTAAAGCACATTTATGAACTATAAGAATACATTATGAGTGATACAAAATTCA